GTCACCACCATCTTATAGAACAGACCTAGTGTCACCACCATCTTATAGAACAGACCTAGTGTCACCACCATCTTATAGAACAGACCTAGTGTCACCACCATCTTATAGAACAGACCTAGTGTCACCATCATCTTATAGAACAGACCTAGTGTCACCACCATCTTATAGAACAGACCTAGTGTCACCACCATCTTATAGAACAGACCTAGTGTCACCACCATCTTATAGAACAGACCTAGTGTCACCACCATCTTATAGAACAGACCTAGTGTCACCACCATCTTATAGAACAGACCTAGTGTCACCACCATCTTATAGAACAGACCTAGTGTCACAATCTTATAGAACAGACCTAGTGTCACCACCATCTTATAGAACATACCTAGTGTCACCACCATCTTATAGAACATACCTAGTGTCACCACCATCTTATAGAACAGACCTAGTGTCACCATCTTATAGAACAGACCTAGTGTCACCACCTTATAGAACAGACCTAGTGTCACCACCATCTTATAGAACAGACCTAGTGTCACCACCATCTTATAGAACAGACCTAGTGTCACCACCATCTTATAGAACATACCTAGAGTCACCACCATCTTATAGAACAGACCTAGTGTCACCATCATCTTTTAGAACAGACCTAGTGTCACCACCATCTTATAGAACAGACCTGGTGTCACCATCTTATAGAACAGACCTAGTGTCACCACCATTTTATAGAACAGACCTAGTGTCACCACCATCTTATAGAACAGACCTAGTGTCACCACCATCTTATAGAACAGACCTAGTGTCACCACCATCTTATAGAACAGACCTAGTGTCACCACCATCTTATAGAACAGACCTAGTGTCACCATCATCTTATAGAACAGACCTAGTGTCACCACCATCTTATAGAACAGACCTAGTGTCACCACCATCTTATAGAACAGACCTAGTGTCACCACCATCTTATAGAACAGACCTAGTGTCACCACCATCTTATAGAACAGACCTAGTGTCACCACCATCTTATAGAACAGACCTAGTGTCACCACCATCTTATAGAACAGACCTAGTGTCACCACCTTATAGAACAGACCTAGTGTCACCACCATCTTATAGAACAGACCTAGTGTCACCACCATCTTATAGAACAGACCTAGTGTCACCACCATCTTATAGAACAGACCTAGTGTCCCCACCATCTTATAGAACAGACCTAGTGTCACCACCATCTTATAGAACAGACCTAGTGTCACCACCATCCTATAGAACAGACCTAGTGTCACCATCTTATAGAACAGACCTAGTGTCACCACCTTATAGAACAGACCTAGTGTCACCACCATCTTATAGAACAGACCTAGTGTCACCACCATCTTATAGAACAGACCTAGTGTCACCACCATCTTATAGAACAGACCTAGTGTCACCACCATCTTATAGAACATACCTAGAGTCACCACCATCTTATAGAACAGACCTAGTGTCACCAGATGACAGCAGCATGAGATCGATGCTTGTATTGATTCATTGATTACATTGATTACATTGATTAGTGTGAATACCACTAGAACACGTCATGCCGTCATTGTGGGGTAGGGGAGGCGGGATTGCTGCAGGGTGTGTTGATTATGTGGGTGGGGGTGGGGGGGGGATCATTGACTCATCATCCCTTTATTTGTAGTGTTAAACGTCTTTTAGGTAACAAAATAGAAATAGATTTCTGTAGTTAGTAAACTTCATGCCCCACCCATGCTCCCAAAGTTACTAGTTTACGCCTCCATCCCAGTGAAGTTGACGCCCCACCCTCCTCCACCCCATTCACGTTGACGCCCCACCCTCCTCCACACCAGTCAATTTGACGCCCCACCCTCCTCCACCCCATTCACGTTGACGCCCCACTCTCCACACCAGTCAGTTTGACGCCCCACTTTCCTCCACCCCAGTCAAGTTGACGCCCCACCCTCCTCCACCCCAGTCAAGTTGACGCCCCACCCTCCTCCACCCCAGTCACGTTGACGCCCCCCCATCCACCCCTCCCCCTCCATCTACCTGAGTTGAAGACTTGAGCGTGGCGCTATTGATTTCCACATGTCCCAGCTTGCTGCTAACATTATGTCAGGTAAATATTGATTTACAGACCCCACACACCCCACACTCCCCTCACACCCGATCTATGGCGGCTAGATCTACAAGTAGTTGGCCAAACACCTGAGGCCATCTGTATGCAAAGATCTAAGGCTATCTGTATGTCAAAGATTTGAGGCCATCTGTATGTCAAAAATCTGAGGCCAACAGGCCATCTGTATGTCAAAGATGTAATGTATCTTTACTGAACTTGGAACTATGACTATCTAGTGCTGACATGATACACGACTTGATCAAATTGTGTTGTCCTAGTCACTCATGCTTAGCGCGGCCTAGAACGAGGTCGATATGGCCGCAGTCACCTGACGCCATCTATTTATAGCCGCGCTAGGCCTAGTCATTGTGTTTTAGGGCCTTCTGGGATGCATTATTGATTGGCTGCCCCGCGCTGGCTCCACTCGACACACCTCAAGGAAACATCGATTGTCTCCTCAAACTTTTCAATCAGCAGTTCATCTGTTGGGATCAATATCTATTGATTTCTTTTTCACTGGTACAGCTTGAACTGTTTAAAAAAGTTTTCATTGATTCTGGTAAAGAAAGGTTTTGTTTGACTGATGCCGGATAATGGCGGTCAGGCGACTCTAGTTCAACTAACCACGGTTAGTGACGTCACCTATGACGGCTAGGCCGTGATAGATGATAAAAAATCTAACGTGAAGTTTTTTTGCCTGACATGTGATGACATTGACATGGTTGGTTGTATACGAGGAGGTGGGGCTATCGTCAAATTAAACACAGCACATTGTTTACAGTTCAACTAGCCACAGTTCAAGTAACCACCCACAGTTCAACTAGCCACCCACAGTTTAACTAGCCACCCACAGTTCAACTAGCCACCCACAGTTCAACTAACCACCCACAGTTCAACTAGCCACCCACAGTTCAACTAGCCACCCACAGTTTAACTAGCCACCCAAAGTTCAACTAGCCACCCAAAGTTCAACTAGCCACCCACAGTTCAACTAGCCACCCACAGTTCAACTAGCTACCCACAGTTCAACTAGCCACCCACAGTTCAACTAGCCACAGTTCAACTAGCCACCCACAGTTCTACTACCCATAGTTCAACTAGCCACCCACAGTTCAACTAGCCACCCAAAGTTCAACTAGCCACCCACAGTTTAACTAGCCACCCAAAGTTCAACTAGCCACCCAAAGTTCAACTAGCCACCCACAGTTCAACTAGCCACAGTACTAACCACCCACAGTTCAACTAGCCACCCACAGTTCAACTAGCCACCCACAGTTCAACTAGCCACCCACAGTTCAACTAGCCACCCACAGTTCAACTAGCCACCCACAGTTCAACTAGCCACCCACAGTTCAACTAGCCACCCACAGTTCAACTAGCCACCCACAGTTCAACTAGCCACCCACAGTTCAACTAGCCACCCACAGTTCAACTAACCACCCACAGTTCAACTAGCCACCCACAGTTCAACTAGCCACAGTTCAACTAGCCAGCCACAGTTCAACTAGCCACCCACAGTTCTACTAGCCACAGTTCAACTAGCCACCCACAGTTCAACTAGCCACCCACAGTTCAACTAGCCACAGTTCAACTAGCCACCCACAGTTCAACTAGCCACAGTTCAACTAGCCACAGTTCAACTAGCCACCCACAGTTCAACTAGCCACCCACAGTTCAACTAGCCACCCACAGTTCAACTAGCCACAGTTCAACTAGCCACCCACAGTTCAACTAGCCACCCACAATTCAACTAGCCACCCACAGTTCAACTAGCCACCCACAGTTCAACTAGCCACCCACAGTTCAACTAGCCACCCACAGTTCAACTAACCACCCACAGTTCAACTAGCCACCCACAGTTCAACTAGCCACAGTTCAACTAACCACCCACAGTTCAACTAGCCACCCACAGTTCAACTAGCCACCCACAGTTCAACTAGCCACCCACAGTTCAACTAGCCACCCACAGTTCAACTAGCCACCCACAGTTCAACTAGCCACCCACAGTTCAACTAACCACCCACAGTTCAACTAGCCACCCACAGTTCAACTAGCCACAGTTCAACTAGCCAGCCACAGTTCAACTAGCCACCCACAGTTCTACTAGCCACAGTTCAACTAGCCACCCACAGTTCAACTAGCCACCCACAGTTCAACTAGCCACAGTTCAACTAGCCACCCACAGTTCAACTAGCCACAGTTCAACTAGCCACAGTTCAACTAGCCACCCACAGTTCAACTAGCCACCCACAGTTCAACTAGCCACCCACAGTTCAACTAGCCACAGTTCAACTAGCCACCCACAGTTCAACTAGCCACCCACAATTCAACTAGCCACCCACAGTTCAACTAGCCACCCACAGTTCAACTAGCCACCCACAGTTCAACTAGCCACCCACAGTTCAACTAACCACCCACAGTTCAACTAGCCACCCACAGTTCAACTAGCCACAGTTCAACTAACCACCCACAGTTCAACTAGCCACCCACAGTTCAACTAGCCACAGTTCAACTAGCCACCCACAGTTCAACTAGCCACCCACAGTTCAACTAGCCACCCACAGTTCAACTAGCCACCCACAGTTCAACTAGCCACAGTTCAACTAGCCACCCACAGTTCAACTAGCCACAGTTCAACTAGCCACCCACAGTTCAACTAGCCACCCACAGTTTAACTAACCACAGTTCAACTAGCCACAGTTCAACTAGCCACCCACAGTTTAACTAGCCACATACAGTTCAACTAGCCACCCACAGTTCAACTATCCACCCACATTTCAGTTGAACGTACCACCAAGTCTTATAATTTAGCTATCAGCTAAACAGCCGGTTTAGTGAGTTGAAACCATGACCTGTTTCTAGATGTTAAATTTCTCTCTTCCAGCCCGTGAGTTGAGACCATCTCCATGGAACTCTGGAACTGGGTGTGGCTGATGGATCAATCAAAGCACGCCTGGAGAAACTTGTTGCATCCAAGTCACGTGATAAGGGAGAATCTTACCTGTCATTGTGTACACAGCAAAATTTCTTGTCATCCATAGATGTCATCCATAGATGTCATCATATTTGGTCATGTCCCTAAATTTCATGTCATCCATAGATGTCATCATATTTGGTCATGTCCCTAAATTTCATGTCATCCATAGATGTCATCATATTTGGTCATGTCCCTAAATTTCATGTCATCCATAGATGTCATCATATTTGGTCATGTCCTTAAATTTCATGTCATCTTTAGATGTCATCATATTTGGTCATGTCCCTAAATTTCATGTCATCCATAGATGTCATCATATTTGGTCATGTCCCTAAATTTCATGTCATCCATAGATGTCATCATATTTGACACTAATCACTGGCACAGTTGATACAAACACTGACACAACACTGACACAGTTGACACAAACACTGACACAAACACTGACACAAACACTGACACATTTGACACAAACACTGACACAGTTGACACAAACACACTGACATAGCTAACACACACACTGACACATCCAGTGGGAGAGTATCTGCTGGTATCTTTAGTTTTATTTGATGTCATCATAGAACCCTGGTTTACTTGGGGGGGGGGGGGGGGGGGGGGTTCGGGTCATTGTGGACGTCAACATGCTGAATTTATTAACAACAAAATACTGATATTTTAAAAAAAAAAGTGCACATAAAATCTAAGTTTACAGTTGTCGTGTTGCATATCCCCAGCACAATGGGGGAATAAATGTGTCAGACATGTAACTGTATACAGCCCGCTTTAAATGTATCAGACATGTAACTGTATACAGCCCGCTTTTTGCTGCAATCGGGAGGGGAGGGGCAGTGACCGCGGCAATTATCTAAAACATTTTACGATATTTCAGGTTTATTTTTTAATCATTTCAAACAATTAATGCTTAAGTTTAAAAACAATTAGTTCTAGATCTAGACTCCGATCTTGTAACTAAATCAGTCTAAATCAGGGGTCTCCAAACTTTTCAGTCCGAGGGCCGCACAAACTATCAAATTTCAGTTCGGGGGCCAGTTTCTTCCAGGCATGTCTTTGATTTTTCTGGGCAAAGTTCCCAAGCCATCACCAACAAAGGATTTTTCTTGGGAAAAAATATCTCAGCGGGCTGGATGAGAGGACTTCGCGGGCCGCATACTGGTCTAAATCATTAATTTGTGTCAAAGCCTAAGACGCCGCAGATCGTAAAAAAAACTCAAGTGACTGTTCCAATTACATATTTAGATAACAGCGCGTGTGTAATGTGCTCGCTTGGTCAGGCTCACGGTCAGCGAGACTTCAACAAAACAAAGGGGGGGGGGGGGGGGTTGGAAACAAGTGTAACATAAAGTTGAGTAACCCATATTTTTATAGTCGTTAATAACTAGACAGACACAAATGACATTAAAATGTTCGGTCTACAGCATCTTCACTTAAAAATATTGTTGATAATAAAAGGCAGAAAAATACTATTTATTACAAAATCAAATGTTTAATATTTTGCTGGTTTGGTATTTGCAGAAACATTTAGAATAAAGCAAGCGCTTATCTCATAGGGTCTAATTTATAATAAGTCGTTTAAAAATATGCTGATTTTTTTCAACACTTTCTAGGCTCAACTTTCAATATTTTTTAGGCCTCGTAATCGATGTTAATATCAAATCCTACATTACATTTGGAATTAATAATGTAGCAAGGTACACAGTACATGTTAATGTATTAGTAATTTTGCAGAATGTTTTGAGAGGTCTACTAAATTTTTGTGGACTTCCACAATGGAATTGTGTAAAATTCAAAATGTTTGTGGACGTCATAATTGACAAGGTTTGTTTGATGTCAATTTAGATCCCTGATTGACCAGTTGATGTTAAAATCCCATGTATGTTTCTTCAATTATTCCAAATAAACTTTGTGTTTGCTCTCTGGTCATTTACTTCTCTTTGTGTGTTAGTATTTTAGCGCAATTTCCATACTGGGATTGTGATTATTAACTCGTCATCTCTGGATGGATTGTGTCCGCAGCTTTAAGTCGTATCTCCTCCTCAACGAAGCAATATCGAGGACTAGTTCCAAAAGCAAATATGTTAAGCAAGTTCCGAGGATGAACATAGGCCAAAGAAATTCCCGGAATTCTTTCCTGGATTTCCCGGAAAAGCCAAAAAAGATCGAAAAAAATGCAGATTTTGGCCCATATATCGGCAACCAGACCACTTAGCGACTTGAAACATTTACCAATCGATTCCTGCCATAATTTATAACAATATTGCCGAAGTAAGTTTTCAAAAATATCCTTTCGTTCGGTCACATTTTTTTTTTTAAATTACATAAACACCTACAAACCGATCGTTCTCCTAGCTTGAACGCACCCCAGCATTATACGTCTTGTGTTTTGTCCCCGTGTGTGCTTGATCACTATCTATTTTTAGATAACATAAGGAAATTGCGCTTAAATTGTCACTAGACTTTTTATTAACTTGTTTATAGATGTTTTGTTTGTTGTCCCCAGCTAATACTTTTCGTTTTAGCAACCATGAGCTTTACCGACTCGACCACGCCGACCCTTTGTTGTTCATAAATGTATAAGTTTCTATTAATAAGTTTCTAGACTGATCTAGAAACCAAAAGTTGATGCTATTAAAAGCCTCCCGTATGAGAGAAGGGTGGCAGCGTTCAGCCGTCAATCAAAGATTACACTTGTGATTTAAGATCAATCTGTAGGTGGTTGACGGTCTATATCAGCAGGATTAACAAACAATAGATGTACAGGCGCTAGAGTGGATAGACCTTGTGAGAAAAAAGCGCCTCGCACATGCCTGGCGCTGAGCTAGACCCCGATAATTAAGCCAAGAAGTAGGATACAGATCTACTTGCGATGAGTTATTAAAAATTTGCTATTTAGGGTACATAACTTGTGAGTTTTTAATTCGTAGATTCAGTAATACTTTGTTGTTGCTGTTGTGTGTGTTGCGGAACTTGTTTTAAACTTTATTTAATTATTTTCCGAAAAAGGCGCCACTAGTGTAGGTAAACCCGTGCCCCGATAAATGTGATCCAAGCGCAGGCATTGCTTACATTTAATTAAGTAACTCAGTTTTAGAAAACAAGGTCACACATCTAAGAATATAGGATTGGTAACACATTGATGAAACCTTTTTTATATATTTTGTCAGACTTTCTTCTATCCCCGCTGCAACGCGCGGTGGCGGGCACGCCAGTTATTTTTAACACTACAATTTGACCGAGCACTTCTCACAATTTCATTGACCAGCTTATAAACACAGACACAATGTAGCTCAAAATGTTTGATTGAACTCATTGGGATTGGTCTTACTGCTTACCACATTTTACTGGTCAGGCAGTCTTTTCAGTTGCATCAACAAACACAATGTACTGGGGGACACATCCATCTTCCTGCAACCTGCAATGTACAGACAACAAATGCAGGTATAATGCATAACCGGGGCAATGCAATTTGCTTATGAGTTGATTCTGGGCAGGTCGCCGACACCATGTGAATAATTCATGCGAGACGCCCTCTAAGTATGGAAATCTGGGGGCTCTCGTTTGTTGCTCCGATAAATTTATTGGTCGAGACTTGGCACGTCTGACTCCTCATCCAAGTTCCGCTACTTCCGGGTTTGTTGACCTACATATGTCACAGCTAGGGCCAGACGACAACTGTGGTGAGTGGGGTTGGCGGTGGAGGCCATATGATATAGGTGAATGTAGGCATACGGTCCTCATCTAATTGTAGGTATACGGTGCTCATCTAATTGTAGGCATACGGTCCTCATTGTAGACATACGTTCCTCATTGTAGACATATGGTCCTCATCTTATTGTAGGCATACGGTCCTCATCTAATTGTAGGCATACGGTCCTCATCTAATTATAGGCATATGGTCCTCGTCTAATTGTAGGCATATGGTCCTCATCTAATTGTAGGCATACGGTCCTCATCTAATTGTAGGCATACGGTCCTCATCTAATTGTAGACATATGGTCCTCATCTAATTGTAGCACGGAGCAAAAAAAAAAATCTATCGTAGTGCGCCCACCAACGCCCTCCCCCTCCCCGCACGGAGCTAAGAAATCTATCGCAGTGCACCCACCAACGCCCCCCCCCTCACGGAGCTATTGAAATCTATCGCAGTGCGCCCCCTCCTACTCCCCGCACGGAGCTAAGAAATCTATCGCAGTGCAGCCACCAACGCCCCCCCCCTCACGGAGCTATTGAAATCTATCGCAGTGCGCCCCCTCCTACTCCCCGCACGGAGCTAAGAAATCTATCGCAGTGCGCCCACCAACGCCCCCCTCCCCCCTCCCCGCACGGAGCTAAGAAATCTATCGCAGTGCGCCCACCAACGCCCCCCCCCCTCTCCCCGCACGGAGCTATTGAAATATATCGCAGTGCGCCCCCTCCTACTCCCCGCACGGAGCTAAGAAATCTATCGCAGTGCGCCCACCAACGCCCCCCCCCCCCTCTCCCCGCACGGAGCTATTGAAATAATTGCCGGGACATTGAACGTATGGGCTGCGGGGTCGACAATAGGTTGGCACGTGGCGATATTGATGCTATTCTTTCCAGAATATTCCAGCTGTATCCTGAGTGGGGCTGGCAATACGACGGAAGAGTTGGGGGTAGGGACGGGTCTGGGGGTGGTGCATGGATCAGAGTGGGTGGGGCACGTTTCGGACTCTGGGGTGCTGCAAAGACAGACAGACAGACATACAGACGGACAGACAGACAGACAGACAGACAGACAGACCGACGGCACAGTTACCTTGTTTACCTGGCTTACCTGAACAGATTTGAAAACAAGATGGTGTACAACTAGGAGATTTGACACGTAAACAATCCTGGCAACTGTTAGAAGTACCTGGCCACAGTCACACAACATACCTGGCCACAGTCATACAACATACCTGGCCACAGTCACACAACATACCTGGCCACAGTCACACAACATACCTGGCCACAGTCACACAACATACCTGGCCACAGTCACACAACATACCTGGCCACAGTCACACAACATACCTGGCCACAGTCACACAACATACCTGGCCACAGTCACACAACATACCTGGCCACAGTCACACAACATACCTGGCCACAGTCACACAACATACCTGGCCACAGTCACACAACATACCTGGCCACAGTCACACAACATACCTGGCCACAGTCACACAACATACCTGGCCACAGTCACACAACATACCTGGCCACAGTCACACAACATACCTGGCCACAGTCACACAACATACCTGGCCACAGAGACACATACCTGGCCACAGTCATACAACATACCTGGCCACAGAGACATACCTGGCCACAGAGACATACCTGGCCACAGTCACACAACATACCTGGCCACAGAGACATACCTGGCCACAGAGACATACCTGGCCACAGTCACACAACATACCTGGCCACAGAGACATACCTGGCCACAGTCACACAACATACCTGGCCACAGAGACATACCTGGCCACAGATACATACCTGGCCACAGTCACACAACATACCTGGCCACAGAGACATACCTGGCCACAGAGACATACCTGGCCACAGAGACA